CCCCAAACATCCTATGTACTCCCCAATGTTTGCCCTTCGATTCCAAAAACATAGCTAAACATTGCCCAAATTTATTCCCCGCCACATCATTATTGTTGCTCCACTTGGCCGCCACTTCATTAACGGATTGCCCCCCATTCCCCTGCCCATCCTTATCCCTCTGGCGCGATTAAAATGCAATTGGCCAACGGAGGCGCAACACTGTTGGCCCGACAATGGGCTCCACATCCACAGCGGGGGGGAGGGCCAGTTTTGTTGCCCAAAAATATTTAACCAATAATGCAATTTCGGTTGTGGCCGGCCATCCAGCCGGCAGACAGCTACAGATATGTACAATGACCAGGCCAGGATCAGGGGCAGGAGGAGGAGGAGGGGCGGGAGAAGGAGTCCCCTGATGGCAAACAGAAGCAGCAGCAGCAGCCTGGAGGGCCTATTAAATGGAATTCCAAACAGGACCGATGCCAGACAGCCTGTCCATCGGGAGCAGACGGGAGCACCAGTCTTCCCTCCCCGCACGCCCTGCCTCTGCCCCTACCCCTGCACTGATTTCATTTGTTCAATAAACGCATAATTATCCGCAATAATTGCATTAGCAAATATGGGCAAGGAATTAAAGGCCAGAGCATAATTACGGATGCCATCATCGTGTAATCGTCGGATTCGACGAGGTGTGAGCAGAGAGGGGAAGAGGGGGTGAGCTGGAGGGGCAGTGCCTCCGTCTTGAGGCATTTAATTAAAGGCGTTAAGTTGGCTAATGAATGCGGCCATCGAAATGAGCACGAGATTGCTCAGAGCAGCGTGGGAGGAACCCTCAGCAGGGGGGGGTGGGGCACGTTTCAACATCACTGAGCAGTCAGTCAGTCATTCCGGCAGTCTGCCAGTCGCTCCTGCAGCCTGCACATGCTGGATAAGTGAATAACATTAAATAAACAAACTGGGAAAGTAGCGCAGAGCAGAGCAGAAGCGATGCACTGCGCAGAAAATGGGAGGAAATTGCGGAGAAGGATTGTGGGGGGGAAAACCCAACCTCCAGGCGAGCCCGGAATACCCTTTCAAAGTGGGGGATGCCCCACTACTTGGTTGCTTCTTAGGATAGTTCTGGATCCTACTGCTGGCAGAGTCACAGATGGATCCATTTGGTGGCTCTGCCAAGCCGGAAAACTGTACGCCACGAGCCCATTGTTGCTGTCCGGGTCCGGGTCCGGGTCCGGGTCCGGGTCGGATGCATTTGATAAGCGGCACGTACCGCACGCCAAAAAGTGTGCTATGCCGCAGAGAGAGGCCGAGAGCTGGCTGCCACCGATTGCCGAGTACTTTATTATCTATTCTGTGCTGGAACGGTGCATTTGTTTGCCACTTACTCACACACACACACACACACGTACACGTAGACGTAGCACAAAGGAATAACAAAATGGCGGATGCACATACCTGCAAGAGAGAGAGAGAGGGAGAACGAGCATTAGTTGGGAAATCTTTGCGGAGCACACCTGAAAATTTGCTCTTGCTTGTTGCAATTGCATTGGAATTAGAATTTAAGATACGACCTGTTCGAAGTTGCCTGCGAAACGAGAGTGTGAGTAATGGCAGTGCAGGGGGTGGTGGAGGGGGAGTGGCTACAGACTGGTGTACTCGGTTTCCATTCCAGTCCTGGCTCTGGCTGTGTGTGTTGGCCAACTTGTTTACCAAACTTTATTACAACTTGGCAAACAGTCGTCGCCTTTGTAGTTGGCCCGGGCCGAGAGCTCCTGCTTTGTCTGCTAACTGATTGCAGTTACAATCAGTTTATTGTATGTATGGGCCTGCTGCAGGATAGACTTCCCCCCGCCCCCCGTGCCCCTGCCCAGATGCTACCTTGTATCCTGCGAGCATCCTGCGAGTAACATGTTACATGGCAAACAGCAAAGGCACTTTGCAGCGGACAATGGAGGCTGCCAGACCCGAAACTTTGAGCACTTTATGCCTGGAAATACCCCAAAAATCCAATTCATTTGCGACTGCTTCGCGGGTTCTCCATTATTCACGCATAGCCATGGGCTTTCCACCAGACCCTGCCTTGGGATATCCTAAAATCTGCCATTTCCCCAGTAATCATCCATAATTCAGAGCCTTTTTACACCGAGAATATCTAATACTTGTAATTTAAAGTCGATTCCCATTCGAACATTCGACTGAACCCCAAATCAGAAATCAAAAATCAAAAATCAATAGAACAGAATGTCATAAGTGATTTCCTGTTCCGTTTCACGTTCCAATCAAGCGTGAAATAATTTTGTGAAAATATTTACCCAGATCGAGAGACCCCAAAAAGGCGGGAGAGCGGCGAAAGATGAAAATCGGGAAAAAAGCTAATGGTTCTGGCTGGCCCTCTGACCCTCCCTCCCACCCCCCTCTCGGAGTGGAAGATGTCTCGTTTCGTCGCGTTGCGCTTGAATGGTTACCTCCTCCACTAAAATGGTGTACATCAGTGTCAGATTAGGGCGTGGCAGGGCCAAATCACAGACATAACCGGCACTAAGCGCGGACGAGGGCGGAGGGCGAGGGCTGCCCAAGATGGAGCATAAATTCCAGACACTGCCGCCCTGGTGATTTGTGGTGCGGAGACCACATCAAACATGGCGGATGCGGCGGCTGGGGGGTGGGGGGAGGGGGCAACAGACAGAGACTAAGTGTGGGTTAAGCACACTTCAAGTATGTGCACGCTTGGGTTAAGAAAAAGGATTTGCCAGCTCCAAGGAGTTGCTGCCACCCACTCGCCCACCCACACAGAGGGATTCACGCCTTGAAATATGAAAAGTCGTCCTGCCAACGAGTCGGGGTCCTCCGCCCCCCTGCCAAGGTGAGGATTGTGGTCTCTCTGTGGTCTTGTGCGGTCCTTGCGGTCCTTGCCAGACCCCGAACCTCCTTGTGTGGACGGGTTTTTCCATTTTCTCTTCCGACAGTCACGTGTAATGCAATTATTTTGAAGCGCAAGCTGTGTGTCACAACTTTTTTCACTTTTTCCGGCACAAAACACGTGTTCTTCCCCATACCGGAATCGAAGACTGCCTAAAAGGGGTAGCCGGAAGCAGGGAGCAGGCAGGTCTTTAATAGGAATAGATTTCGGCGAAGATTTCCTCGGTGAAAGCGAAAGCCCTGCCCAATCTACAGCCACGCGATCTGCCCTCTCTCTCTTCTTCCGTCCGCTGCAAATCCCCGTAATTTACAGCAACAGGCCGCACGGATAATTGCCAAAGTTTATTAACGGCGACGAAAAAGCGAAAGTGTGGGTCCAACTCCGGCCCGGAGGCTGCGGAATCTGCATTTGGCGTCCATGAATATGAAATGAACTCGAAAGCCCACGGCGAGACAGGGCCAGAGATCCCTTTGGGGCTGTGCCTGTGGCGTGGGCCAGTCATAAACAACAATTTAGAAGCTTTAATGAAAATTGGTTGATAACCGGCAACATTCTGGGCCGCTCCTGAGACGGAGTTGCAAATAAATTAAGTCGACTCTGCCTAGACCCAGACCCAAGGCCCCAGCCCCAGCCCCTTTTCCACCTTGGACTGGCCAAGTTTTTATGCCACACACGGGAATACCCTCGCCGCGCACCGCGGCACCCTCTTCGACGGTTCTGTTCATAAATATTTGCCCGTTTTCACCTTTTTTTGTTCCGGCGGAGGCTTAGCATTGTCCGGGGTTCCCGTTCTCCTCCGCTCTATCGCTCTCGACAAATGCATATGGAAATTTTATGCAAATTTCCATTGTGTCAGCAATTTGTAACGAATTTGAGATGTGAAACTGTTTGGAAAAGCCGCCGCAGGCCCAGCCACGGGGCGACGATGGGGGCCGCCCCCCACCACCCCCCAAATTGCATAAACGTCAATTTGCTAATCCAATATTTGACTGAAAGTTGGGGAAAGAACTGCTCGTCGCTCTTCAATTTGAACTTTAAGAATTGTCGAGAGGAAAGTGTGGCAAGAGGCAGGAGGCAGGAGTGGAAAGAGTGGCAAGAGGCAAGAGGAAAGTTGTGCCAGCGTCTGCTGGCGAAGCTGACAAAATATCTTTTGATTACTTTTCCACACTGGCAACACTTCACAATGTCCCCAAAGAGAGAAGATAGGAGCAGAGCGGAGATGAGCGGAGAAGAGGGAAAACGCGCCTCGGAATATCTTCGAAATAAATGTTATTGTAGGAAAGAAAAGTTGCTGCAACCGATAGGAGGAACATGGCATAGGACAAGACAGGACAGGACAGGGCAGGACACGGGATGGCGGGACAAGCCGTATCCTTGAAGCAAGTGCAGCCCTCGGCTGCCTGTTGATGGCACTTTGATGTTGTCCGACCAAAGGCTTCCTCCACGAGTATTAGCGAGATCCTCTCAGATAGTTCCGTCCTAAATTTTTCGCCTGCCGTGGCCGTGTTGGGGCCCCATCATAATCAACAGTCCACAAAAAGAACGACCCACACACGTGACTCCCAGGGAGCCCTGGCCGCCCCTCTGCCACCCCACCGCACAGCCGCCCAGCCACCCCGCCTTCTCTGCCACCCCAGCCGCCCAGCCCTTTGGCAAATGAGCCGCTGGCATTCTGCTGTTTTCTCCGTTTCTGGAGCTGTCTGCACTTAATGGAAAATGTCAGTTCGCCTCCGGCGTCAAGCGTTTTATTGAAGTCTCCACCGACGGGGGTTGAGGGGCGTTCAATTCGAGCTCTCGGAGCACTCTCAAATGTGCGTCTCCCGGGGACCCACCTTTTGGCAGATTCTCGCGGGCAGCCGTTAAACTTAACGAACCGGAAGTGGCGAAGGCGAAGGCGACGGCGAAGGCGAAGGCGAGAGAGCAGACCTAAAGGTGCCGAGTGCCCGCTGATGGAGAATCTGCGCTGTGAAATGGCCGTGAAAAATTGTTGTTAATTTTAATGGAGAGCAAGCCGGAAAATGCCAGGAGAATCCACAATCCGAGTGTGCCTGATATTTCCATCAATTCGACGTAGATCTACACCCAAATTCCTACATATTTCCCAGTCCTAGTGCTAGATCCATTCAAAAACGAAAATCTGAAAATCTCAAGCTCCGAAATGAACAACAAAATTACCAAGTCGAAATTTACCCCGGCCGTGACCCCCCTGGCGGCCCCCAATGCGGCCAGCATTTTCCGCTGCATGTTCGAGGTCTTCGGCAAGGTCCAGGGTAAGAGGCGCCGCCGAAAAGGCCACGGCTTGAGTCTAATCTTTGTCCCCCTCCTCCCCGGCAGGTGTCTTCTTCCGGAAGGTAATCCATCGAGTACTCTTTTAACCTCCTAATGGCGGCCCCCCCCTTTAGCACACCAACAAGAAGGCCCAGCAGCTGGGACTGGTCGGGTGGTGCATGAACACCGACGAGGGCACTGTCAAGGGCGTGATGGAGGGAACCCTGGAGAACATAATTGAAATGTGAGCGATCAGGTTGTGGTTTTATTCATCTCATACCCTCCCCTCTCTTCCCCCCCCCCCCCTAGGAAGGACTGGCTCCAGCACAAGGGCAGTCCTCGGTCGGTGATCCAAAAGGCCGTCTTCTCCTCCCACGAGCCGCTGGTGATTCCCAGCTTCGAGAAATTCTCCATCCGACGCTAAGGCAAGGGATCCTCCTCCTGCACTGCACTGCACACACCCGTAGACGGACCATAATCCTGCACATAATTACAAGAATAAATAAAAGGCTCCCCCCTCCCCCGTTCTTTGAGGGGAAACGTGACAATTGTCCTACCAATTGCGATGATGTGTAAGCCACAAATGGCCAAAGTTGCCGAAAGTTTTGGCCCTGTCCCTGTCCCTCCGGGGGATGTCCGTCCGGCGGCCAATTAGTTAGGCCATGAGCCAAAATAAATTGTCCATCTAATATTTTTCTGTTCATTTTTACCAGGAGTGCCCGACCCGTCCCCTGCCCCTGCCCTACCCCCACCACTCCACCGTCAATTGTCAAAACAATTTCAATTTATTTTCCCAGTCGTCAAAATGTTTTCGAAACGGGCAAAGTTCCGGCTGGCTTTTGCCAGTTTTGCGACAAATATTTTGCTGCCCCGAAAAAAGAGCCACCACGAATTTGCATAAGTAAATAAAAGTTGACTGAGTTCTCGATGGTAACAGTTGTCGCCGTGCTGCCAATTAAAAGCCTCTGCCCCGCCCCTCTGGGGGCTTGTTTTTTATCCCCTTTCGAGGGAGGGGGGGGCTTTTGATTGTTGCCGTGTTCTCTGTGTGTCTGGCAAACACTCTATTAAAAAGCGCTGAGACCGCAAGAGTGCACTGGCTAAACAAATTGTTGTTTTTGTTGGCCATTTGGCCACTCGGCCCATCAGGGGGGGGGCCATCGAGAGATAAAAACGACTCGATTTGTGCTCCAAAGGGTTTAATATTTTTCCATATTTAATTTTGAACTGCCGATAATTTAATTTGGATTTGCAGCCAGCTCCCCGCCAGCGATCAGGACGCTGGGAAGACGCCGTGGGCCTCCTGCTGGTCCCTCCGCTGCCGGGCCGTACGGATCTGCTGGGGCGTCTGGGCCTCGCGCTGCAGCTCCCTGCGCAGCAGCCTCTTGAAGAGCAGCATCTTGCGCCGGGTCTCGGGCGCCCCGACGGGCGTGCTGAACTGCATACCGGGCGGAGTCGCGCGCGAGGAGCTTCATGAAGAAATAGGTCCAAAAGAAAAACGATAGGAACATGGGGTGATTGGCTGTGCCGCGATTACCAAAGAGGGCCAGAGCCAGAGCTACTTTGAGCGGCTTCATGGCCCTTCGCTCCCTCGGCTCTGCGACTCGGGGCCGTCGTTGGATGTGGTCTGCTCTTCGATCAACTTACGCCTTTTTGTCACTCATTAAGGAACACGCCGGGCAGTTTTTCCCAAACAAAAGCCGAAAAAAACCAAACAGTTTCTACGTCGGAACTGGCGAGCCAATGTTGAAATGTGGGTAGAATTTTGCATACTGAATCGGAGCCGACTCAGGATTTGGAGTCTCGGAACAGGCACAGGATAAGTCCAGGCAATCTAGATCGGAGTCTACAGCACCGTCAACTAATTACTGAAGCCGAAAAACCAGGCCCCAAATTGAGTCATTAAATGCCACCGAATGGCAACGCGGCACGCAAGCAGATAAAAGAGCTTGCCGCAGCACGCAGGGGGCGGGGGGGGCACGAACCGAAGACGGTGCGGGGGTGTGGGTGCAGAAGGGTAGCAGCTAAAAGCCGATAATCAATTCCGTTTCCGGCTGACAGTTTGCCGCATCGTGCGTGACTCCAAATTTGAGCATAAACATCGCCACAAAAATATAATAATAATTGTAATAATTTTCCCTGTGCAGCACCAGGCGAGGGTGGGGGAGGGCGGGGGGAAGGGCGGGGCTGTTGAAACTTTGGCCTCGCGTGCAGCGGTTGCATGTCGAGGAGTAAGCCGTGGCAAAGCCATTCCATTAGCTGCCAGAAAGCGTTGATAACGAGTTCATTGGCACATTGATTCCCATTGATCGGTGCAGCAGTGTGGCAACGAGGATGTGCCGGGGGGGCGGCGGGTGGCGCGGTTATGCTAATGAAAGCCCAGAAGGAACTTTGTCCCACTTTGTGCCGCCAATTGAGGCGCCATTGAAATGCAAATGCGGCTCTTGGCAGGAATGGCATTAGAATCATTCAACAACATTTAATACGACTTTCAACGATGTCTCCCTGGTATCCTGTATTCCTGCAAGGGATTGGGATGTACTCCTACGATAGCGGTGGAATGAACAGTTGGGTACAGCCTGGGACGATCTCCAGCCTCTATGCAGGAAGAATTCTGGATGAATCGTGGCCACTTTATCCCTACACTTCTTCCTCCTACGATTGTTGCTCCCGCGTTTCCTTGGCCGAAACTTCCGAGGGGAAATGGTAGCTATTTCGGCACCGCACATATGTCTATCTGGGAATCCTAAAACTAATACCAATTCCGGGCTGTTCCTCAGCTGCTGCGCCCCCCTCCCCCTGCACTGCACTGCAGCCCAGCCTCCGGCCCAGTCCCAGGCGAGGCTTATTACGGATGCAGACCATGTTTCTTGGGGCCCTGCTAAGCAAGGCACGAGCCCCGAAAGTGGCAGCAGACTGTTCTCCAAATCTCAGTCCGGGCACACGCGGATCGTCCAGACAGACTCCGATACGTGGGCCGAAATATCCGCATCACCAGGCCCCCCAGCTTCCCCAGAACTCCCTCCCCGACCCCCAATCTCCGCCCAGGGCGTTGTCTAGACGCAAAACCATTCTAGTCCTCCAAAAAATTGTGCTCGTTGCGCAAATGTTGCATTATATACTCCACAAATCCACAGCTCCAGAGCTCCAGGGTGTGTGGCAGATGGGACGAGGACGGGGACGGGGCAGAGTTGGGGGGCAGCAACAGCAGTTACCACCCGACAAGAAATTTATTAAAATTTTACAGCCGCAGCCGCAAACACAATTCCGGCTTGTGGAAAATTGGAAAATCCGCAACTAATTCTGCATGAATATGGGATTGCAGGGCTCCGCCTCGGCCTCCGCCTCCGCCTCATGTTGCGTGCCACTTTGATGAATGAATGTCCTCCCATCTCTAAGGCCCTTCGAATGCAGTTCTCAGGCGCGGGAAGGGGCTGAAGGGTAAGGGCCTGCCCAGGAAGGGAAAAACTTGGTTGGGTCTTCCGGGGCCTTCATTTTCAGGGGATCGGATCCCAAACGCCTCGGGGCCTCGGTCCTCGGTTCTCGGTCCTCGGTTTCCCTTTGAAGATAGTAGCCTCTCTCAGTAGCCCTGCATTTCATTCTCCAAAAAACAAACAACAAGCAGGCAAACGAATAGTCAAAAGTCAAAGGTTGAAGGTTGAAGTTTTAGGCCAAAGCCGAAGCCCTTGAGCTGCCACTCAGAATCCAAATCCCAGTCTTTTAATGTAATGTAAAGGTTAATTTTTGCACAAAACAAACAGAAACTCAACTTGCAAGATGGAGGCACGTGCACTCAGCGAGGGACAGGTCGGCATCGAGATGTCGAAGGAGTTCATTCAGTTCGGCCAGGGGAGTCCTGCGGGATTGGAGGAGTTCGGGCCATTAACCGAAAAGAGTCCGAGGGCGATGCAAAACCAGGAGCAGGAGAAGCAAATTATGGTGGAGGCAGTGGAGGCAGAGGAAGACCAATCCTCGGTAGATGGAAAGGTAATGTTGAAGGGGGATTCTCCGGGTCTCTGATTGATAAAAGTCCTCAGCAGCAGGAGAGCCAGGACTGTGCGGAAAATGCCCTAACAAATGCCGAGTTCCCTGTGGAAAAATCCAGTGAAAACTACAGTGAAACCGAATATGAATGCAGTTCGCTGATCGAGATCGAAATAGCATCTGAAGAGTCTAAAGAAGAGACCTTGACAGCGGAGGAGAGGGCCAAAATGAAGGAAAAAGAGGCCAAGGAACAGGCCAAAAAGGAGTCCGCCATGGCCAAGGAAGAGAGGAAACTGAAGGAGAAACAGCTCAAAGAAGCCAAGCGTAGGGAGAAGCTGAACGTGCTACTCGAAGAGGCCAGATCCTTGGGCAAGAGCCCCAAGCCGGAGGTCCCCGAGACCGAGGCCAGCCCCGAAGCCAAGCCCCAGTCGCCCCCAAGGGACGTTGCGGGGGCAAAAAAGAAGGCTAAAAAGGCCAAAAAGGCGGCCAAGTGGCGCGTGGATAGTGCCAAGATGGAGGAGGACATTCAGCAGTTTCTGGAGGCAATCAAGGCCCTGGAAAAGAAGCAGCGGGAGGCGGACCGCCAGGAGGCCGAGGAGGCGGCCGCCATTGTCATCGAAAACGAGCACATGAGGGGCTGGAAGTCCGTCCTGAAGGAACTGGGCCAGACGTCCACATTCTCGGCGGCCACCGCCAGGTAAGTCTTTTCCTCCACGTCGCCAATAATCTAATTCCGTTTACCCGTTTCTGCCACAGCCTCAGCGCCGCTCAACTCTCCTCCGCCCCGAGACTGGTGGTCCGCGCCATCCTGCATCGCGTGGCCAAGATGGAGTACAAGAACCAGCTGCATGTCCTTGAGGAGACCTACCAATACCGCTCCAGCCTGCTGAAGAGGCTCAAGCTCGACATGCGGTCCAACTATAAGCGGGAGCTCCAGGAGCTCGCCGCAGCCTACAAAAAGAGCAAGCCCCAAAGGATCTGAAGCAACGAATATCACAAGGAACACTTTCGAAGCCAGATCTTGACTGAAGAACGACCTACTTCCATTTGCACAACAGAAAGCCCCTCCCCACCCCCCTAGACCCAGCTGTGCATCTCATTAGGAGTGCCATCCGACCCCATCCGACCCGCTTCTGGACAGAAGTCCCGTTGGCTTTGTCCGCGGGCTTTTTGTGCCACTTCTGTTTTTGCACTTTGAAAATAAAAAGAATACCCACCCCCCAAGCCCCACGCCCCCACATAGACAATGAAAACTGACCCAGATAGCACCTGGCCTGGCCACCTCTTCGGGCATTGTAATTTATGGACCCTCCCTCCGAGGTTGAGGGTTTTCTGGGGCACTGAATCGAAGGCTTTAAGCGGGAGAACAAGAGAAGACTTTGCTGGCATTTCCGCTTTAAGAAAACTTCAAACTTTTCCTAACTCCCATCCGATCCGATCATCATCATCAGCAGCGAGTGAGAATCGGCGCTCCCCGGGCGGCTAATCCGTTCAAAGCTGCCAAAAATCCCCCAGCAACAAAAAGTGTGCGGCCCGCAGGCGGGGGGCGCCACGGACACTCTTGGAAGGCGGCAGACAGACAGCGAAGAGCCATAGGCTGAAAAGGCTGTTGCAACATCCCTGCTGCCTGCTGCCTGCTGCCTGCTCCCTTCGTGGCGGTGGCAGTGTCGGTGGCGCAACCCCGCGGCAAAATGGCAAATAAAAGCCAAAAGCATTGACAGCAGGCGATGAAACGGAAAGCAGAAACCGAATTCAAATCAGAATCAAAGCAAATCAATGCCCAGGTCCAGGTCCAGGCCCATGCCCCCCGCCCTCCGCCCATCCCTTGTACATTTTTGATGAAAATTGAAAATTTACTTTGGCAGCCCCCGCTCCGCTCCCCTCCCCGCCCCTCTGCCGCGCACCCTACAATGAAATATGTCAATTTCAATTATGTCAGAGAACGCCCGGCACGCCCCCCGCCGCAGGGCCAAAATTTATTTCAACAAATGTGTCACTTTCCATGTAAAACTCTTCATCGAATCATCGAGCGCCTTGATTCCCTCCGATTGAGCCCTTGTCGACTGGGTAATTATGGGCCACGAGTCCAGGGGCTGGGGCTGGGCTTCAATTTGTTGACAGTTGTCGTCTGGGGCCCCGGGGCGGGGATTGTGCAATCGAGAGATGGCCGATATTGGAAGTGATAAGCAAACGATTGATACACAAGATTATCGGAGCTCCTTCTTGCTGCTGCCTGCCGTGGGATTTCCTTTAAAACCAACCCAAGTTCAGTGCTGGCTATTCTTATCAACGAGAAAACCATCAAATGGCCATAAAACTTTCGTTCAACACTTTGCAGACAGGAAATATGACAAGCAGTCCCGTCCCCCATAAAGCGAACCACCAATCGTCTGTCCTTCACTCCATGCCTCCATGCCTCCATGCCTCCATGCTGGTCATTTGCCATTTCTAGCTGATTGACTGAAGGAGTTCCTCCTGGCACCCCCCCGTTCCCTCTCTGATTGATTTGCAACTGGAACCGGCAGAGCTGGAATTGGAATTGAACTTGAAAACTGTGCAGACAACGACAGCAACAGCGACAGCGACAGCGACAATGACAATGACAAGGCTCTCACGATTACACAAAAGCCAGCAGCCAGAAGCCAGAGGCCAGAGGAAGTACACGCCTGGGAGAGGGATCCATGAGGGCAGGGCGACTCCCTGTTGTCGATATGATCTCGTCATTACGTCGCCAGAGCCCAGAGACAGACAGCAGCAGCAGCAGGCGTGGATGGTGCGGGTGGTGCGGCGGGTTGGGGGGGGCCGTCTGCCAGTCGCTGCGTCGAGTGGGCGACACTTTTATGGGAAATTGATGATGATTGAAAGCTGGCTGGGATGGAAAAGCGAAACATTCCTAGACATGGCAGCGTGATACTCACGACGGCAGACGAGTCCTGGGCTGCAGGCGACAAGAGACGATCAGAAAGATGGTTTTATCCAGTCTCCGAGAGGTTTCCTGGGCAATCCCCCACTCTTCGGGGAATCTGGTGGCGCTTGTCTTCCGCCACTCTCTCCACAGATTCCAAAACTACTTCTGTGGCATCGTAAATTTAATTCATAGTCGGAACTGTGTCTCGGCCTCACCAGCTGATGATTGTCCCCATCATCGGCGGAGCCATCCCAGGCCCCAATCATCGTCTTCTGGAGGCGAATGCTCATTGCGTTTTTATCACTTGCGCGAAATTGGTTTTTATGTGCCGGGAGTCTCATGTGCGCCTATTAAATTAAAGCGCTGCCTTCTATTTATTCCTCGACATCAATTCGAGATACTTATTGTGGCAAGAACTGCACTGCTACAGTGGGTACTACTCATATGCCTACTCTGGTGGGGAGCGGGGAGCGGGGAGCGGGGACTGTGTAGGCAGTTAAATAAAACGCTCCACTCTGCTGTGCTCCACTCTACTCTCCTCTGGTGGCCGTTTAAGCGATGACAATCAGCCCAGCCGAATAGTCGAGTGATATATTGTGGAGCATTACAGCTCCATGGAGGAGAGCAAATGGGTCTACGGAGGAGCATCTTCGCTGTCATTGTTTTATTGATTTATGCGCGAGGAGCAGCAGGAGCCAGCTGATTGCAATGAATGCCTTGGGGCAGGGGCAGGGGCGGGGGCAGGTACTTACGCACTTGATTAGAGATCGGAATAGTCACAAAGTAATTACCTGCAAAGAAAGGGAAAGAAGAGAGGGAAAGGGTATCTTTAGTCACCATCTTTTACAAACAGAGCACAAGCCACTCCCTCTGGCAGGGCGTGTGGCAGGCAGCCCAAACATCTCAAAATTATATACCATTAACTCCATATGGCTATATCTATGACCAAACAAACTTCTTCTGGCTGCCGTCCCCGTGCCCCCCATTGACCCCAGCAGAGGAAAAATCTGTCAAGCTCAACAAACAGACAACTTAATGCCACAAGCCGTGCCAGCCGGCAGCCAGTCCGGAGAGGACTCTCCACTGGCCACTGGCCACTGGCCACTGGTCTCTGCGGTAAAATTTAATTTAACATACAATTCGGAAAGGCAGGCGACAGATTCGGACCACACAATACTCATTCAGCAAAAATTGTTGCCTGGACACGGAGTATCCCAAAGCCCAAGGCCCAATGCTCAAACCCTTAATTATATTGAGTGTATGGAATCCTTTTGGCCACACAATGGTCTGGTGCCTGGGGTCTGGGCACCCACAACAGGAAGAGGAAGTGAAAGTGGCCATGTCCATGTCCTTGTCCGTGCTCGTTTTCGTGTTTAATCCAAGCAATTTGCAATTTTTGGTAATTTAACTTGACAGAAACTTTTTAATGGCCAATGGCGGCGTCACTTGGGAGCCCCTTCCACTCCACTCCACTCCACTCCAGGCCGTTCAACAATTGACAATAGAAATGAAGACCGTTTGTGGCTGCTGGCTGCTGGCTGCTGGCTCCTGGCTCCCCTTTTGCTTCGATTCGATTCGATTCGATGAGCAACTGTTGCCATTTTCGAGGGGGAGTTCCAAAGGGAAGAGACGACTCCCCCATAAGACCATCATTTTTGATTGTTGTGCCCTGAATGTGCAAAGCCCAATGCAAATTTCACTTTTTATGATCGTCCCTGGTCTGTAATGTGATTTATGATTGCCCCGACCAGGGGCCAAGGCGTTAATGTCCTTGGGAGAAAAGAGTTGTGGCACATCCCGCCACCCCCTGGGATTCCTGCGCAAGAGATTAGTTGGCAAATATTTTGTGAAATTAATCAGATTAGACAGGATTTATGGGACAGCCCACAGCCCAAGCCACACACCACAAAGAAAGACCTTCTTTGAAACAGGCTCCATCCCCCAATCGAGGTCGCTTCTCTCAGGTAAAAGTTATCCCAGATTATTAGTTCGATATCGATGCCAAAGAAAAGTTGCCCACATCCCACCTTGCCTCCTGCTTTGAAAACTTTCCAATGTTTTAGCCCAAGAAACTTTCAAATCAAATCTTCTGATGTCTCTAATTACAAACAACAGCAGATCGCGATGACAACAGAAGTTCCGACGCAGAGGGGCAATAAAGTTGAGTTTTTCCTGGGGTTGGACGAAGGAGGGAAATAAATGTCCCACCATAAGCCGCAATTTCTGCGGAAAAGTCGCCATCGCCCTCGCCCTCCCCCTCGCTGTCGCTGCGCAAACAATTTGAACTGTCAAAAATGACAAATAGTCCGTCGAGGATTTAATTTTGAATGCAGTGCCTCAACTGGGACTGCAGTGGAAATTAACTAAGCGAGCCGGAAAAAAAAACAGTGAAAAGTCAGCGGGGGAAAGAGGGAAAACTCGTGGTGCCCTCCATGGCAACGCAGCCAGCAGCCAGCAACCACCGAAAATTCGCAGTGAAACGCTCCACGGCCTCACCTTGAGTAACGGAGGGGTGGGCTGTGTGCGTGTGGGTCTGTCGTACAGCGCGAGGGTTGGGAATGGGAATGCAGTCGGGCTGTTTCATGTTTGTGCGGGAAATTAGTAGCACAACAGCAGCAAAGCAGCACCAAATAAAGGATTTTCTGTTTAAAGACAGCTTACCGCTTTCCTCTCCCCGCTCTCTCCCGCCATCAGCCATCCGCTTACTGTTCGGGGAGAGTGTTTATAAATTACTCGTCCGCAGCACAATTGCTCAGCCATACGTTTTATTGCAAAATCTGAAAAATGCCAAACAGAAGCCTGCCCAAGGTTGCCAGGGACTACGACTGCGACTACGCACGTGCTCGGCAGCCCTTGCCCGCCCGCCCCTCCAAGGCTGTTCTATCCACTTATTAACGAGGGGGAACGTTGTGAGTTGCTGCGGACACCGCAACTCTACGGTTATACCCGATACTAAGTCAGTATGGCTCTCCTCCGGCAGACGCCGCTAATATTTAACGACACGACAAAGAGTGCGTGCGAGAGAGACAGAAAATCAGTCTGAGCGTGACGTCGGGCGCTGCGTAGCCAGTGCAAATTGATTTGCTCCTTTTGGCTATGAAAATGATCTGATCTGATCCAGATTCAGCAACCTGATAGATATGGTTATTATCTATGATTCTGCGTTTTTAGTTTTCTCAAATCTGCAATATTGTGGATGCAACAGATTTTCGTCCTTTGTGGGGGCGGATGGGGGTGGGGCGAAATTCTGAGATATACGTTTTATAGTGTCATCTTAAAGGAGTGTGTGTACCAAATTTGGTTACTCTAGCCTTAA